TAAATGTAATTTCTTGTTCCACTAATTAAGGCTTGCGAAGTCGAGCATCATCACAAGAATGTAGTTGTCCATTATTTTTTTTGAGAAAATACCCTAATTATCTTGTTTATGTATATTCGTACAATCACGTGCTCATTCCTGATGAAAAGTATTGCCTGATTTTTCGCAATTAATCGATAACCCTAACCTGACCATTATTTAACCTACACCACAAGACCTTAATGACTTCATCATATTATCACGATTTCCATACTCAAAATTCTCAATCATAGCGATAAAGAACAAATTTTCATTCGTTAGTAAATAAACAACGGCCTTAATTCTTATCAGTCCAATCAACGTGTTCACGAACCACAGGAAGCGTGTCGCTATCTGTTATCTTGTTAAAGAAACCGTAATCATTTCCAAGTGGCGGTTTTTAACTGTTTGGGATAAAATGTAGATCTCTGCTGCTTATTCAAAAATGTTTTACTGTTGAACTGTGAGGACTTTCGGTATGGATTTTAAATTATCGGTTCTGTTGCCTTAGGTTGCCTGGTATCATGGCTAAGATCTTCCGATAACTGTTAAAGCAAGTCTGTTGCCTAAATCGATGGAATTTTCTTATTTCAAACAATTAACAAGCTTCCTACATCTGCAGTCTCATACAATTCAATCCCTTGGTCCGCACACAGAAAATAAGATTCCCTATTTCTGACTGTTATACACCTTATATCTAGTGTTGCTCAAATACGAGACCAAGACGATTCTTGGTCTTGCAGATTCAGTCTTGGTCATGGTCTTGGTCTTGCAGATTCAGTCTTGGTCATGGTCTTGGTCTTGCTCAAGAGTCTCGCAACAGTCTTGTAGTTACTTATTAGCTCATTAGTACAGAGATATTACTGTAATTTTTTAGATAGGAGAAACCTAAGTAAGCCCGAATGAAAAATTAGAGGAGTTAAATGCAGAAATATATTTGTTATACCAATTATTAACATATAGTAACTAACATTGTCAAGTATTAGTAACTATTTTGCTTTAATTTTTATTTAAAAAATCGATTTTTTTTACCAGTCCTGGTCTTGGTTTTACAACAGTTAGACGGTCTTGGTCTTGGTCTGGCAAAGTGCAAGGTCAAGACGTATTTTGGGCAACACTACTTATACAGCCATGGAACTAAAACCTTTGAACGTTCCTTTCTTGCACAATGACATCTGGAATTGCAATGTTTCTCTTCCGTCCTAATTTAATTAATATGTAATACCTTCTATATCAATACATTCCCTAATCCCAAACAGAAGCTCTAAAGTTCTATTTGATGGATAGAATTTTTATAGATGTGTATAGTCGTTTATATTGACTATTTTTTAAATTTAAGATTCAATTCAAAGTATTTCTAGCCTTTTATTTTTTCCTTTCTTTGATTTCTAATTTTGTTTCCATTACAAATATCTTTATTTTAAAAAAGTTTTTAATTTCTGTTGTTTATGTATTGTTACTGAAGATTCTGTATATATTGTTGTACTTTTTTTTAATGTCATTTTTGGCCAGATATGTTTTTGTTTCTTGTTTATTTATATATACTTACGTATATACTTCTTAAGTGACCTTGATGAGGAATAGATTTTATTTTCTATCGATCTGTCTTATTTTAAAAGAGTCAAAGCATTCCTTAGTTCTTACACAGTAAGTCTTGTTAAATGAAATTTATAAAGCTGTCCATGGCACTGGTAGACTTGGACTCCAGAAACCGACCAAGTTTTATTTGCCAATTTTTAAATTTACATTAAACCAAATATAGATAATATTACATATATTATACAATAATGTAGCAGTTTTTCTGGTCAGATGTTACTTATTTACACTATTTTTTACGTAAAATTGTGTTATTTTTAAGAGACTTCTTTCCAGAATAAAGTTATTTTCTATCTATCTAAAAATATATAAAATATATTTAGATAATAATTTGTTAACATATATGGTTAATGGTGAAGTTATGGTTTTACTAATAAATTTAACAATTGACTGAGACACAGAAAAATTATTCCATAATTTCTCTCCACGTCCCTGGCCATTGGAAAAACGAGTACTAATGGAGTGAGATTAAATTCGTTTCTTATGCTAATTTAATTAACATAAATATAAAATATATAATTTATTATTCATTAGAGCTCATAGAGATTAAGAATAAAATAATTATGATGGATGATTTGCCTAAATAGTTGAATTAAAACTGCATTTTTTAGTTATTCATTTGTTGTTTTGAGGTATAACAATTTTAATGAGATGCAGAAGTTCGACTCCTCCTAAATTTAATCATAAATGTTGTTAAGAGACCCTTGGTTCAGGGTGAAGAACGTGAGAACACTTTCGAGTGTGTTGGAGAGCACAAAAAACAATAAGGAAAGGTTTCAATAGACTCGGATAAATTTTAAACAAACTCCTTTTTCATCAGGTGATTTTTTTTTTTGTTATTTGTAGATTTATGTTGGTATTCTTTTGAATCGGAACAACATATCAATACAAAAATATTGTGACATATTATGACATAGCGTTTGTTACACGCAGACACTTGATACTTCCCTGCGAGAAGGTGCGTGAAACAACGCTACAGAATATTGCACAGTATGACAGCAATGCGTCACTGTGATATGAGTCACGCTCGTTCGTGAAACACTCATTCGGATAAAGTTGCCAAGAGGATTAAAATATCTCAAGAAATAAAAATCGATTAGCAAGGTCAGTCCCGGCTATCGAGCGGGAAAACGAGGCAATTACACCAGAGGGGCGCCGGCCAACCTATAGGGGCGCTCGCGACTAAAAAAAAAAAAATACAAACATATTACAATGATTAACTTTAGCCTATCAATAAAGCAGCTGTATAAGAGAAGGGCGGGGTAGCCGAATGGGCTAAAGCGTGTGCACTGCACCGCCGTTGCCTGGCAACCTGACATATGAATTAAAGATATAAAAATAGTCACGAGTTCGCGTCCCGGTGCCGAGGGAGTCTTTTAAATCCCCGCCCACACTCCCTGGCCCGGGAAAATCCCGTATAGCCTTAACGGCGAGGAAGGGAAGGACCAAAACAAAAAGCTGTATAAGAGAAATATTGAATGAAATAAAATTCAAATATTACAGGATATTTCTGTTTTTTTTATTGATGATATTTCCAATTGTATTACAAATAAAAATATATTCAGTAAATGTGAACAAAAGAATACAGTAACATGAAAACACTTGTTGAGAAACTACCCACTGGTAGCACTTTAAAAATGTAATTACAGCCGGAGATCTCGAGGCCATCTTCTTTTCAGATGCCTCGGAGGAAGCAAGGTTAGAAACGAGAGGTTTTGGATGGTTCTCAAGTTTGTTATGGAAAGATAGGTATCTGGATTGGGCCGCCAGGTCAGAAACATAAGGAACATTAAGGTCGTTATGGATGATTTTATTTGTGAGAAAGTAATTAGCAGTGAGGATTTTACGAATGATTTTGGATTGTAAGGATTGGATACGAGAGGAATTCAATGCCTTAGTGAAGCCCTAAAGCTCAATTCTGTACGTCCAAATAGGTCTTATCGTAGTCATGTATATGAGTCTTTTGTAATTGACTGGGAGCTTAGAGCGTTTGTCTAGTAAGTGCTGGAGTAGTCGGAAACTTCGAGCGGTTTCTGGTCGTTTCAGTCTGGTATGAGGATTCCAAGTTCGACGTTTGCCTAAGTGGAGTCCAAGATATCGGATTTGTTCAACAGGGATAAGTGGGGTATTATTAAAGGATACTGTAGGACAGGAGGACATAAGTTTACGACATTACAGAATATAAAACAGCTTAAGCAATAAATTAAAAGTTTTAGGGGGGAGACGAGGTCATTTCCCGAGGGGCCTGAAGGTCTAAGGCTACCACTGAGCAACGACAATGTTCAGCATGTCATCTTCTTTGTAATGAGCTATTAATTAAAATTTTATCTTGACGCGACATCACGTCAGAGAGGCAAAAACGGAAAAAGTCAAAAGCCAAATTATAATGAGTTTTAATTTGTTGTTTTGGTGCTAATTTTTTTTCCTTTCCAACTCTTCAACTCGGTATCACGTCAAAACACAACTTTGAATAATTTGCAGGATAAAATGCTCTTAGTTTTCATGAGTTTTCAATCATCTTAAATTCTTTCAATTATCCCCACAAGGGATGGCACTATCTACGGTGTTTGCATTTTGGAGTAACCACACTAACATCTGCTGTGTTGATAAGCGTTAGAAAAGAACTAAATATTTCATACAAGCTAATGACTTAGTATATTAGATCACTGATCCGTATTAGAAAAATAAAGAATTATTTCATTAAACGGAACAATAAATGTGTTAATAATATGTATATATATATATATATTATTATTTGAGAAAAACTTAATTACATATGAATGAATCATAATAATAATTCACGAATAATGAGAAATGCAATAATATGAAACATAAAGATTAAATAGTATTGATGAGTAATAACAAAAAATATATATATTTTAATAAATTCCGAGTATTGATTGATAAAACCGGGTGTTTCACAAGAGATTTAAGATAAGGGATTCTATTATATTTAAATCCATGTTTGGTTAATAAATGTGATACTTAAGATGTTTTATTTGATCTGATGTTTCAGCATAATATTTTTGAGATAAAGGTTATAATATTTTGGCCTAATATTTTTAAGCAATACTTTAAAATATTAATGAATATATTTTTTTTTTAATCTTATTTATTGAAAAATATTACAATCTGTCTCAAGGACATTTATAATAGTGTTCACAGATCACATTCACACTAAATTTTTAAAAGTGTTTATAATTTTAATTTTAATATTTATACACTTAAATTCTTATAATATGCAACAAGAGTCTTTCAATTAATGATTATTGTCTTACGTATCATATCAGACTTGGTTTTATTTTCATCGATGCGCAAATTAATACCAATGTACAATAAAGGAGAGTTGACCCTGTAGGTTTAAGGATGCCGTTCCAGGATCTGATTTAAGAAGTGACGTTACTTTCTTCAATCGCCGCCAGTTCTTCTTCCAACCTCTCCCGAGTTCTGTAGCATTTCAACCATTGAAGAGCATCTTCGGCGTCTCTCTTCCTTCCTTTCTTGTAGAAGTAGTAGGGTGACTCCGGGGCGAAGTAGAAGAGCACTGCGAACATGACAGCTATCGCACCACCAAACAGAGTCAGAGCCAGGTAAGAGACGTACGGTCCAATCCCGAACATAAGGAGACCTTCCAAAGTCATTGATGAACTGCTCATCGCAGCGAGGCGTCCTCGGATATCCGGCTACAATTAAGAAAACTTTAAAATTACATTTATGAAAGTACAGTCCAAATACTTTTTAAAATATAATTTTATTTTATTTATTTATATATTTTTTATTATTGATATTTTATAATGTATTTGCAAGCCAAAGTATTGTCCTTTGATTTTTCGTAACAATTATATACTATTCCTTATATTATATATTGCATGGTACTGATCCCGTTTTATCAAATTATTCAAATCCAGCTAAAACTTCATCATCACAACCTAATTTTTTTTATTTACGAAAATTCTTGGAATTGGGCGTTTTCAATCTGGAGTTCGGCAGACTTTATCTATTCAATTAGGCACTTAATACCCATGTACCACCATTCGCTTTCCACTTGAACCTTAAAATAATTTGATCGCAAAATCGAGAAAAAAGTTGTCCTAAAAAAATATTGGATCGCTGTGTGACATTCATCAACGTCAAATTAACGAGGCTATAAAGGCTAAAGGGCCCATTATTTTTGTAGGCCACCTTTTATATTCTATTTTGTGATAAAATTATGTTACGATTTAAGAGGAAAGTAAACGGATATTTATGAGTTTTTAGTCATTCATTAAATCAATTAATTTAATAACCACGAGAATATAAAATACAGCTGTTTAGAGTACTTAGTCCGTGGTACAGATCCCTTTTTATGAAATTATTAATATCCGCCTGAAACTTTGTAAATAACTTCACCTCATCGTAACTTACAACTATTTCATTTTCGAAAATTCTAGGAATTGGGGTGATTTCAATCTCGAGATCGTCCAATTTTGTCTATTTAATTAGATACTAAAAACTCGTAAATACCCATTGGCTTTTCACTTGCATCGTAAGATAATTTGAGCAAAAACTCCAGAAAAAAGGTGGCTTTCAAAAATATTGAGCCGCTTCGGGTTACCTACATCACCAAAATGTCAAAATAACCAGGTTGTATAGGCCAAACGGCTCCATATTTATGTAGTCCACCTTTTTTCTCAATTTTTTGATCAGATTATCTTATGACCCAAGTGGAAAGCAAATGGGTATTTAAGAGTTTTTAGTACCTAATTAAATAGACAATGTTTGCCGACCTTCAGATTGAAAACGCTCACATTGAAAACGCACACAGTTTTCATAAATAAAATATTTTTAGGTTGTGATGAGATGAAGCTATTCACGAAGTTTCAGGTGGATGTTAATAATTTGATAAAAAGGGGCCTGTGCCACGGAATAATAACTATAAGTACCAGTACTCTTGAATAAATGTATATAAATTATTATTAATTAGGTTGAAAAATTACTGTAAGAAATTGATCCTTGTAGACGTTTCAATGGATTTAACTAATTATTTAGTCTATGCCTACATAAATTGATGTTAAATAATTCGAAGTATGAAATAATTAGATATATATATTTTTTAAATTAAGAAGTATTTTTAGAAAGCAGAATAAGAAAGCTATGCGGCGTGTTTTCTCGGGTCGAGGTAAATTACGAGGGATTAATACTTGAGTTAAAAATCCCTGCCACAGAGACTAGAATTGATAATCTTTAATTTATCAGGGTGCCTAATGGTCCCTAAAAACATTTTTTAAGTTTATAGATGAAGATGTCTTAAAGATATCTCGTTGCTTAAGACAGACACACCACAGAGGTTTAGAACAAGGAAGAATTTTATTACCTGTGCCAATATCCACCAAAGAAATATGTACGCTATTACTTGAGAAAATGTCATATTTCTGAGAATTCTCGTAGATAAAAAAAATGTAGGTTTAATGTAGGTTTGATAAGCTGAAGCCATTCACTAAGTCTTAGGTAGATGTTTATAATTTGATGAAAAGAGGGCTGTACCAGGGACTAATAGTTATTCGAAATAAAATCTTATTCGTGATTATGATATGTAAAGTAATGGGGTACTTCTTTCTCTGGAGGATAATACCGTTCTTAAGGGCACCGACTGAGGTAGAAAACTCTTCCATCTTCAAAACCCCTATTGTGTGTCTATCTTGTCACGATATATCTTTAGGATATCTTCTATAAACTTAAATTAATTATGACCATAATTAATAATACTGGCTGTTTAGGCACCTTGATGAATTGAAGATTATAAATTCGTGTCTCTGTGGCAGTGTGTCTCGTACACGGGCGGATCTACGGGGGGGGGGGGAGGGCTTTCGGGCTGAAGCCCCCCCCCCAAAATGGTAAAATATAACCATGTTTTATCAAAAAGAATATTAAAAAAGTATCTCTTAATATGTAATTACATTTAAAAGGGCTTTAAGGATCACTTAAACACCATTTCATATAGGTAGTTAGTTTCTTTCTTTTTTTCCAAAGTAATTATCGTTATTTTTATGAAAAAAACAACTTTCGGGCTTAAGCCCCCCCCCAAAAAATAAATCCTGGATCCGCTAGTGGTCTCGTATGGAATAAATACTGAGCTGGATATGCAACTTGAGAAGACTTGAAACTCTTGCCCATATCCTTGGCGAATGTTCCATGTACAAGTCTACCCGGATTGGTTTTCTTCAGGACATTAAAATGGATAATGATGAGAAGAAACTAGCACTCTTACTTTCATCATCTAATAAGGATATTATATTCGAACTCTTTCGGTTTATTGGAGAGTAGTGTTGCCCAGAATCGGTCTTGGTCTTGCACTTTGCAAGACCAAGACCAAGGCCGCCTAACTGCTGTAAGACCAAGACCTGGACTAGTAAAATAAATCGATTTTTAAAATAAAAATTAGAGCAAAATAGTTATTAATACTTGACAATATTAGTTACTATATGTTAATAATTGGTATGACCAATATACTTTTGCATTTAACTCCTCTAATTTTTCATTGGAGCTTAGTTATGTTTCTCCTATCTAAAAAATTACAGTAATATCTCTATATTAATAAGCTAATAAGTAACTGCGAGACTGTTGCTAGACTCTTGGACATGACCACGACTGAGTTTGCAAGACCAAGACTTGTCTCGGTCTCGCATTTGGGAAACATTATTGGGGAGGCTCTCAAAATTAAGTCCTTTATTTCGTATGAATAGGAAATTTTAGCCTATTATCATTTGTAATGCATCATGAATGTAAATTTGCATAGAAGAATTCCCTGTAACTTCTGGGCTAGGGCCCATCTTAAATTCTGATTATATTATTTGTTATGCCAGTAATGTAAACATATAATTATCTATTATTATTGTATAGTATTGTTGTTGTATATATTATCTATCATCAATATTACTAAGGTTTTATTTTAAATTTTGTCTGTATCTTTTTGTTACTTTAATATGGAGTATATTTATAATGAATAATATTAGTAATGGATTGTTACTGTGTTAAATATAAAATAGCCAGCCAGAGCTCCTGTAATTATTCTATTCAAAGGCAGGGGTTTTTAACCCAGGTCTTGATCACTCGTACTTTACGTAGGTCCGGGAAAAAACGCAGCATAGCCGAAAAGGAAAGGAAAAGCTTTCTAATTCTACTTTATAAAAAAAAAAATCTTAATTTGAAAAAAAAATATAATTATTTCAAAAAACATCTCGAATTATTTAATATAGATTTTCGTAGGCATGGACTATATAAATAATTAAATCTATTGAAACGTCTACAACGATCAATTTTTTACAGGATACGTCAATTTTTCAAAATAATGAATAATAATTTATTTACATTTATTCACGAGTACTGGTACTTATACCTAAACTTTAAAGAGCTCTATTTTTCGTTTTCTTCGTTATTTTTGGAGGAAAAATTGCGTATTTTTTCTCTCTCGAGGTTCCGAAACCGATACTTGAAAGATGTAGACATAGTAAAAGGATATTAAAAAATGCTTTGTTGACTTATTACGAAAATTTGTATTTCTAACTTCAACATATTTTTTTCGCCAAGATTACATATTGTGTAATTGCACTTGAAGTCGTATTGAAGCATTCTTATCCTTCTACACTTTTCCTTAAAACTGAGATAAGATAAGAGTTAAAAACTTCCCATACCATTTCTCTTTTTGTTTTTCTACCCATATTTTGACATTTTATTTTTCAGTCAAAAACCTTCTTGTATGAAATCGTTCTTCTGGATTAAATTGAGGTAGGAAAATGTACTTTTTATTATAAATAATAATAATTCATGCTACTTCTGCGATGTGCGATCGGAGAGGACCAACCCATCACTGCGCCGATGGAGACGTGGAAGATGGTAGCTAAGGTATAATGGATAAGCATGTTATTAGAATCTTACTTATAAATAATAAATATACATAAAACATATTTTGATAAAAAAAGAAAACTGACAACTCAAATAACTCTATCCGTCTTAAGGAATGAAAAATTATACATGTCTCTATAAATATATAAGGGGGTTGTTAGTGTCTATGATTAGGAAAATATGGTGAACTATTCGGGTATCTTTAACAATGAAACTCCGAAACTCTTCTCACTATACATTGGTTGACCTGTGGGCTTAGATTCCATTCGATTGCTGGCGACATCTGATTATTGACGTGCATAGAAGCACGTAACGGAAACAGCTGTAATCTGTCATGAAAAGCACTCGACTACTTCAAGTTTTAATAATAATAGATGTTAAAAACCTGCTTACATATTTATGGAGATATTAATAATTTTTCATTCCTTAAGACGGGTAGATTCATTATTATTTTTTATTTAATTAAGTTATTTTAATTTTTTTTTAGTTTTTAAAGTATTAACAACTTATTTTCATAACATTTGACCACATGATATCATTTCAAATCAATTAATAATCGATATACTTGATCTATAATAAAAATTTTCGTAGATTTTTGTTATTATGGGACTATTTATATAAATTTTATCCATTGCTTTTATGGATTCTGGGGACAGAATTAAGAAGAAAATGGGTGAGGAGAGAATAAAAACAATAACTAATGACATTTTGATACAAAAAACAATTGATATTTAGAAAAACAGTCCTATAAAATGTTATCCTTTATGTATTATTTCATTAAAGTTTGTCAATTAGGCGGATCAGTATGCTGTGTTAGCAACTCATGCAGTTGATTAACATTACAATTGTATTGTAATTTTTCTATTAATTTACATAATGCAATGCATTATTAATTGAATAAGTTTAACACATGTTAATATTTGATAATCCTCATTAGGATTGTACTATTATATCTATATATTTCTCAAATAATTATGAAGGAAAACAATAGAAAACTGTATTCTATTATAAACGATTCCTCTAAAGGTTACTAATCCCCTAACCAAATATTAATTAAATGTATTATTAACTTTAGAGTACTGGAAGTGGATAATTTTGTTCATTAAATTTATCAATCAATGACTTTAAAGAAATCCTGATAACATTGCTCTCATCGAAGTTCAATGTTCAGTAAAAAAATAATAATTATTTTTATTGATTGATAATATGTTTTTTTTCATATTAGAATCAAGAAGCTTTGATATGACCCATAGCATGCAAATATTTAAATTATGAATGTTTCATAAACGTTTAGTATGTTTTTTTGAGTAGCACATGTTTGGAACATATACAATGGTTCAAAAAATGTTAATTTAATAGTTATTACTAACTGTAGGTGAGACATTTCATTGATTTTCACCAACATATTCATCTTATACTCAGCTTTTGAACTGTATGTTTATCAAATACAAGAGGATTATAAATTTCATTTGATGAACTAGAACAAATTAAGTCGTAGAAAATAAACTTTATTCAGGGACAAAGTCCCTTAAAAATAACAATTATGAACAAAAAATAAAAAATCACATCTGACAAAAATTACATTAATCTAAATTAAAATAATATATACAATATCTTCAGTGAACAAATAATATATATAAAGTAAAACCATTTTGAAAAAAAACAAAAAAAAACAAAACAAACACTTTTGAAATGAAAAGAAGTATATAAGTATAAGTGAGAGCATCAACAAGGCTCGATTAATAATATGAAATGTAAATTATAAATAATAGCTCATTATAAAAAGGATGAAATGATGAAAATCTCCTTTGCTTACAGTATCCAGGACCGATTGTTAGTTTCGGAGATAGTTTAATCCATATCTTCAATGAAACTCGTTATAATTTGTTTTTTGACATATTTTCTTCCCTTTTCACCTCTCTAACACGGCCATTGTTAATATACAATTTTGAATAATAGCTCATTACAAAGAGGATGAAATGATGAACATTTCCCTTGTTAACAATATGCTAGTTTTTGGGATATTTTAATTAATATACAGAAGCACTTCAATTAGTCGACTCTAGCCGACGTTACCCGAGCGTTACACATCGAAAATCTGACGGCTCAATCAAATTCACGTTTCACAAAAATAGTAAGAAGTTTTAACTACAAAAATATAAAAATCGTATATTTAATTACAATGGATTTGTGCGAAGAGAAAGGTGGGGTAAGATGATGAGGTTAACCTTTTGCAGTTTTTTTTTGCCACTGTGAAAGGATTTAAGAACCCAAATTTGTATGACAACTCCATCAATATCTTGCCTGATACCGTGAGTTTTTTTCAATGATTTCTTTCTTCTTCAAAGTGATAAAACGTGGGGTTTCCCAAATATTGTCATTTTCCTCTTCTTACCATATATGTACGGGTAATGGTAATACAGCTTAAACAAGAACTTTTTTGGTACTTTATAAACATATAACTTTACAAAGAAATATAAAACTGCTAAAGGAACTACAAACTGTTATTATAATATATGATAAGTAAAATTTATGTAGCAGTTATAAAGTTGTATTTATAATCCCTGTGAATGGCGTCTCTCTATTCACATTTGGAACACTCAGAATGAGGTACTTTCAGCTCTGGTACAACAGCTCTTAACTTAATTAATATGTACTTAAAGCTTATTAAACGAGATGTTTTTCTAAAAGTGAGATATCTGTAGTATAGTCGGATGATCGCGAATAGTTTATATTTTTTTTTTAGCCACTCAAAAGTGCTCTTTAAATAGATTTAACAAGGACAAATTCTTTTTTCATTTACATTAAATTTTGTCAAGTTTAAATTGAATCAATTGTTATTCAATTAAATGGGGAAACTGGTGTTTATCCAGAAAGTTTCCAAATGTCAGATCCTGTGGAAAACCTAGCAACTAGCTTTGACAGTGAAGTAAAATAAGTTTTTTTAGCATCAGAACTAATAAAAAAGTCTGAACCGCAAAAAGCTGTGGTCCTAATTTACTCGCAAGCTGTAATAATTGCTATTTCAGATCCTTCCTGCTGTTCCACAAATTAAATTAGTATGTGGTCAGGAATTAATTGAGTAGCTGATTTTAGAAGACACAGATGTCGTTCTACAGTGGATACTAGGATATGTAATGAAAATGCTGACCGATTAGCAAAAGAAGGTGCCGGAAAAGATCAGCCAGAGACGCCAACCCATTTCTAAAGAAGCTAATCAAAACAGTAATCATTAAAGAACTAGAACAGAAAAGGCAGTTGGAGTTAAAGGAGAAGCAATGGCCTTCATTACTACAAGAGAATGGAAGAGTGTCAGTTTATCTCCCTAGAAGCGAGGCCGTTGCACTGTTTAGGATGAAAACCAGACATGACTATCATCAAGGCCATTTATACCGTATTAAAGTTGTCGAATCAGCAACATGTCCACTGTGTCGACAAGTGGTCAGACAGTGTTGCCGTTTGTACGAGGATCCTCGTATTTGTACGAGGTTATGACGTAATGTACGAGGTACAAGGATAGATCAGCCTCGTACCTCGTACATAAGTTTTGCTGACGTATGCAATGCAAGGTTATATTTTTATGAATGAAGTTTAGAATTGTTTTGCGATTATTTTGACTGTATTATTTTTATATTGATATGAAATACTGAACTTCTTTTGCTTTCTAGACATATGTATTGCAATTATATCTTCTTTAATTATAGTATGATTATTATTTCCTTCATAAAACCATCATTGTATGTATATATGTTTTTTTTCTTGAAAATAAAATTAAAAAAAAAATATTTTAGATTTTATTCAGTATAAAATAAAATATAAGAAACCATATCCATTATTTCCTTCATAAAACTTTTTTATAAATATATATTTTTTAAAATGTGTTGTAATAGAAAATTAAACAGAAAATTTTACCGTCATTTTTATCGAGCATAAAATAAAATACGAGAAAGTATATTCATTATTTCCTTCGTAATTATTATTTCCTTCATAAAACTGCAATTGTATATATATTCTGGATAAATTAAATTTTTTAAAAAATAAATTTAATTTTAAATTTTAAATTCGTAATTTAAAAAAAATATTTTCGATTTTTAATCAAGTAAAGTAATTAATTGAAAAATGAATTAGTATTCATAATGAACCCATCTTAAATAATGAAAAAAAAAGTATTTTTTCAGTGGTCCACATTTATTTTGTGCGAGATCTAATTGAAAGGTAAATACTGAAACAATCACAATCTATTATTTTTTTTATATTATAATGGATATGTCTAAAAGCATCAATGCCCCAATAATTAATTTTTATTGTCCTTATAGAATCACTAACATCCTTTCATAAAAGTAGTTGTTTTGTTTTTAGAAAAAAGAAAAAAAATTAGTCTTTCCCACAAATTAAATCTTGGATCTACTAATGAATACTTATGAAGAGTACTTTAAGAAGTTTATTTAGCTATTTTAATTTTTATATAACGTTTTCAGTAGTTTATAAAAATATATAAACTTTTTTATATTTTTTATTAAGCTAATTTTACTACTTGAGCAATTAACTTAAAAAAAAGTAATGTAAAAAGGCTTTAAAATATATGAATGGAGGTAAAAATAAAAAATTCTGATCTAATTTTACTATAAAAAAAAAAAAATACACTGGCATTATAACAGTGCAAGTTATGAATGAGCAAGCGTACGAGGATGTACGAGGCTTGACTACGAGTTTTTGTCACAGAGCGCGCGGTAACACTGGTCATGACTACAGTGGCTTAATAATATTATTAAGCTTGGCTTTTCTATTATTAAGCCACTGTAGTCATGACTGCTCTGCATCTACTGACTTGTCCCGGACTACAGGACATTAGAAACAAAACCAGGACAGCAGGTGAAATTTACTGGGCTGCCAGTCGTTACATGACCAAAATAGCTCAAGACGATCAAGGCATACGATAAAATAAAAAATAAAAATAAATAGTGAATATTTAATAGTTGACCGTTGCATTATAAAGGAAAGAGATGGTCCTGGCTATACTTTTAAGTTATTTCTGCAATGTATGTATGTAAATACGTTATGTAATAAGTTTTGTATATAGATTTTTTTTTATATTTTTGTATATAGCTTGTTTAACTAATATTTTCTTTACTTTCTCCTTTTTATTATTGTTTTATTTTGGCCAGATGTAGTATTTTAATTATGTAGTATTTTGTTATTCTAAAGGGACTTTGTCCCAGAATTAAGTTACTTTCTATTTCTATTTGTAAGTCTCTAATTTTATTCTACCATTTTATTTACTTATTTATTTAATTTTTGGTTTTCATTCTCCACATTTCTTTACGTCTATTATTTCATATTATATCCTTTTTCCTTTTCATTCAATCTCTCCTGTAGATCTGTAGACGTATATTCACATTTGCATTTATTATATATTACACTATATATTATATATTAACAATTGTTGTTAGCATCTATTTACTTCAGTTTAGGATCTTGTTACTTAGCTTACTTTGTTCATATTTTAATGTACTTACGGTTTATAATTTTAATAAGCTTATTCACATTGTTTATAAATTTTGTCTAAATATTATGTAACTGCCACAATTCTCTATCTTTTTTGTATCTTGTCCGTTCTAGCCCTGAAGATGACCTGCAAAGTCGGGTCGAAACGTCGGCTTTTAATAAAATAGTTTTACCACTATTTTATTTTATTTTTTTTATTTTATACTATTGCCTATTTATGACCGCAACCCCGGACCATCTCCTTCCTTTAAAAAAATAAATAAATTAAGTAAATTAAATATTTCTTTAGTTCTCGTTTTCTACAAAAAACACGACTTACTTAAAAAACACAAAAGTTGAATTTCCTACTTTTCTGCCGAAAATTGGAAAATATGAACTTATTTTTAGATCTTGGAGTTTCGTTTCAATTTCGAAAAGAGTTGTGGGGTCTATAGTATATTGATAGAGTATGAAAACTGAGAAAAAATACTAAGCTAATGAATTTCTATAATGACTCTGGTATCGTTCATTCAATAAAAGATGTGTTATAGTTCTGTATTCTTTACAAACTTGAGTACATAAGTATTTCCAACTCTAATAAATAAACATTGATATTCTTGAGTATTAGGTTAATTCTACAAATACTTAAATCCATATCCTTTACATACTTGACCACATAAGAATGTTAGACCCAAATAAATAAACATTGGTGCTGTTGAGTTGGTGTACCAATGGTGTAGATGGAGGACGAATCTAACCCTTCAAATACTTCAATAGCAAAAGTCATTCAAAAGTGCTGTTATGAAATTTCGTGAGAATATTCCTTAAGGATTTTTTTATCATGTTCTTCCTTAAGAAGTCCTTGTTCTCTTTTTTTTTCTTCGGAGGTACGTTTCTACCTTCGGTCCTTCGTATTATACAGCTGTTGTTCCCTCTTTGTTCACAGCTGGCACTCAGCACCTGCACGTCTATATTTTATACATTTGAAATATTTATATTTATTTATTATTCGATTGAATATTATTATTTATTAACATAAAATAGGACATAAAAAATTTGCGATCTGCAAATTTCTTTGCGATTAAATATAATATTAATTTTATTAATGATAATTCCAAACCAGCCCCGTGCAAAAAGTATTTTAATTATATTTTATAAGACCTTGTATTTTGTGTTTTTAAAATACACTGTATTTTAATTACCATGTATCTAAAATAGTTACAAAAAAATACAAATACAAAATACTCACTTTTTAAGTTAGTTGAACTTTACAACTGATTTCCATAAACAATTACAATTATAAACAACTATAAACAATTACAATTATTATTTTATTTTTTTATTTAATAAGGAAAGCAGTTATGAAAGGAAGGGGTAGTGGGCATAGTTTTAAAAAAAAGAAAACATTTTATTCATATCAATATATTTTTTAAAGAATAACATGTAAAAAAAGTTATAATTGACCAACATACAAGTAAACTGACTACGGAAATAATGATTTCAAATTCTTTTTTTTGTCATTTAGCTTTTAATAATTCTCGTAACTTCAACAATTTCACTCTAGGAGATTTCAATCTCGTCCTCTCCTTCTTCTCTTTCTAGGCTATACGGGATTTTACCACGACAGGGGGCACGGGCGGATCTACGGGGGGGGGGGGCTTTCGGGCTGAAGCCGATTTTGGATTTTGTTAATGGCTTAAAAGAAATCGAAGAAGGTTTTGGATAGAATTATTACAAATATTTGGTTTACATTAACAAGAGACAAAGTTTAAACTTTATAAATAAAGTCAGATCCTAAAACAGCATTCTTAAACCTACAAATGCACCTCTCCCTGATTGAACACTGGTGTAAGAAATGGCGCATTAATATAAAAGAATTGAAAAGTAAACACATTACCTGAAACCTATTTGGACTTATGGACTAGAACTGTGGGACAGCAAAACTTTCTAACATTAAACACATCCAATCCTTCCAGTCAAAAGTCCTGCGAACAATAGTCGATTCTCCTTCTTTTACATCATGACCTCAACATCCTATTTGTCCTAGACCTTCTCCTAGAAAAATTCTCCAAATTTTACCCAATCCCTATCAAGTACCACCCATCCCTGTAATCCTCCAAGAAGGTTAAAATGGCAGTTATGCATGTGAGTTTTTTGCCTTAATTTCCTCATTTTTAAGTTATTTTATTTTATCTATTGTATAAATTTTGGTATTATCATTTATTGTTATTTTGCTTATATTTATTTTATATTTTTACTAGGATAACATACAGTGTGAATGTTATCCTACCTCACTAATTATTATCAGTAATTATTTTTATCAAGTTGCCTTATATCACTGTGTGATGTGCACACATGTTGGGCTATATACACTATTAATACACATACACATTTACACTATTAATAAATAAATAATGTATTTTATGAGTGTCTGTAGAAAATTGTTTCCCATGCTGCCAATAAATGCTTTTATGGGATTCAGAGACACCTAACAAGTTGGACCATCGAGATACGTATCTAAATGACTAATCAAGCCCATTTTCATATATTCGTCAGAGTGTTGGGCGCTGACGAAAGAATTTGAATAATCTCTATTTCAATTTGAAAGAAAAATTTTGAGAAAGATTATGGGGAGTCTACGTATATCTACAATGACACTGATATTGTTCATTTAATAAAGGATCTCATTTGATAAAGATTTCTAAGATGGGTAAGGAATGTTGCACATATGGATAATAATGAATTTCCCAAATAAGTTTAAAAGAAAAAATATTCAGAAGAGTTGGAGGACCTAACCGTAGATGATTAGAAGCTGTTAAGAATAAGGCAATGGTTGGCTTAAAGGAATTGGCAGCTCCTAGTAATGAATAACATGACTTTTTATGAGTTATAGAGTCACAAAGAAAAACATTGTATAGATTAGGATGGCTTTTGTTCTGTCTCAATGGTTTGGAATAAATCTAAAAAGGTTATAAGACTGCTACATTAAACCAATGAAATAAATTAATATTATTTTATTCCAACAGTTATATTGTTTGTGTCTACTGTAATATTTATTTTCATTGTATCAGGAACAACTAGAAAAATCCTGCAAGAACTTCTTATGAAACGAAAGTAAAAAAAAAATTTTTTTTGTTCATATCTGTTAAATTTAAATAAACTTTTTAAATTATACTTTGTCATCAGTATGATTATTTATTTTTAACCCACCTTCACCAAAGTATATTCACTTGAAGTGTACATTGTTGTAGAGTTGTTTTCAATCACATCATTTTATAAATTTCTTGGCTAGGTTTATTTAATATTTACTTAATTTGGGTATTATTAAAATGAATTGTGATTAATGAAAAATACTAATATTTAAATATTGATGTAACATGTTTAAATATGAAATTCACTGTTTATTGAGGAATTTTTTTTTTTTATACAAAACAGTTATATAAAAGTTATTTATTATTACATTCGATCATTCAATCTATTTATCTTTACTTAATAGTCAATAAGATCAATCATCATATATATATATATATATATATATATATATATATATATTTAATAGGTTATTTCTAAACAAATTACAAGGTGATGTCAAACCAGAACTCAGATAATATACATTTGAGTAGATAAATAATAAAGTACGGTTGGAAACGTCACGACTCAAAATCCTTATTGAACAAACCTCACCCATCATATTAAAAAAAAAAGGAATATTAATTATATTCAGCAGTGATTGCAGAACAGCTCATATGAAGAAAAAAGTGGGCTAACACTCCCTTAACCAAACTGGCACCAACTTCATCTGGAGATGACAAAGGATTAATATGGTCTTAGGTATTTATTCACTTATATTTAAGGTGTTCCAACCAGAACCATTAGGTTTACTTGCGATTATAATATTTCTCTACAAAACAATCGTTAAAAGTTGTTATGGCACACCTTACTGCTGAGGTGTTGATAAGTAAAAAAAAATTCACTTTGGCTTTTCGTTCCCTCGTAAGATAAATTCATTTTGTTCTTATATAAATTTATGTTATTACAAATATTTTCTTCACATTTACAAGAGACAAAGTTTAAACTTTATAAATAAAGTCAGATCCTAAAACAGCATTCTTAAACCTACAAATGCACCTCTCCCTGGTTGAACACTGGTGTAAGAAATGGCGCATTAATATAAAAGAATCCAAAAGTAAGCACATTATCTTCACCCTTTGTCATAAATCCTGTCCACCAGTTTTTTTTGTTAACACCATCCAGCTTCCTTTCTCAGATACAGTCTGGTTGCCTTTCTCTTGGACAGAGGACTAACGTGGAACTACAATACACAGACTACAAAACAGAAAATCTAAACTTCCTATTAAAAACAAGTTACTGATCTGCAAGACAATACTGAAACATATTTGGACCTACGGACTAGAA